TAAAGGTTTCACAACAGAATGAAACCAAAATTAGAACAGAAAATAAACAACCACAAAAATTAACAAATAAGGGCGTATGTCAACTGTCAACCCATCCACAGACTGGCCGTTTTAACCCTAAATGCATGTTATTCAAGAAAAAGTACAGGATCTAGCATGTAGATCATGGAATCACAAACAAGGGGCCTGCCAGTGTCAGTATATGTGAGACAGCGTGGTGGAATCAGGCTCTCGTCAATTCTTAGGCATGTAGAATTATTGGTATCATCTGAAAGCTTGTTCACTTGTCTTTATTTGGATGAAAAAAATATTCATTTATCTTGAATACAAGTCGAGATAATTGCGAATGAAGGGGGTGGGGGTAAAATTAGTGAGAAAGTGGCCGCCAAAGTTATTTCCTTAGCTTAAGAGTCCGTTGCAACTGAAAAGTTACATTTATTGTACCTTTAATCAACGTTTTTCAGAATAATCCACACAGAAATGAGTTCCTTAATGGGCATGAAAGGTGTTGAACCAAAAAACAAAAATTTGATAAAAATTCACCAACCTGCAGTAAAGTGCAAGTTTCTTCATTTTGATTATTTTGACGAGCGCCTGATTCCACCACGCTGCCTCACATATGTTTTTGATGGAGACACGCTGTAACATAACTATAACACATTTTTTAAAGGTAGGAAGAACACTACGCTAAACACACCAAAAAAATGAAAAAACAACACGTCAGAATTCATTAACACTAACGAGCAAAAAAAATTAACTCACCAACAAAATAAAACACAACAAAAAGGGAAACATGAAAGAGAAACAGCAATATAAATACACATGTAATGTAGCCTACTAATGTTCTTCACATGAAAATGACAAATCAACGTAGTGTTAACATTAAACAAGTGAGAAAGAGACGAAGTGAAGCGAAAGTGAAAATAAACTTTCTTTCTAAAAGTAGAGAGGTTTGGTTTCGGGCTTTTTTCACGAATATTATTCCCAGTTTTTGTTGTTGTTGTCTTTGTTGTTGTTTTTAAATTATTTTTTCTTCCCGGCAGTGGTTTTTGTTGGAAAAATGCAAAAATCATGGCCGCGATTCGCGGGTCGCGGCCGCTACAAACGCAGATGCTAGTTTAATACATTCAGTCAGGATACCATCGTGGATGGAATTATTGTCCTACTGCTCAGACTGAATTTCTGCAAGACAAAGCTGCATCTTTCCTTTTCAAACGAAGACTGCGCTAATTAGTCGAGACTATAAATTCCACTTTGTTTCAGACGGCCATGGAATATCCGGTGACAAACGCGTCTGAGAACGTTGATACATTTTGTAGAGTGGGCAAAAAATGTCGAAGAGCCTTCATAGCATTACCGAAAAATACCTCTGTTCCCCGACACATCGCCCTTTTCATGGCCGCGAAGGGTGAGTTTGTGAGTTTCACAGAACAAAATACACTCGAAACCCTTACACAATGTGTGCCTGTTCTTCTCCCTAGTTCGTTATCGTGAGTCGTTGCAATGCGATGACCTACGACTAGTTGCGCTGATATGTCTACTTGTCCGAAAGTATGATACTTAACGAACGGCATTGCTTACGTGCGCTCTTGGTGACCCGGGACTTTAATGCGTTGTTTCACATGGACAAGATCAGTAAAACTTGTCTTAGACTATTACTTGGGGTCCTCAGTTCCAAAAGGCAAACAGGAGAAACAGCAGGCCTACAATGAGTATTTGCTAAGGCTGACTGCAAGCCTCCCCACTTTTTGTTGGTTGTACATGTATTATTTTGATATCTTCTAGGTTGGTGAAGACCTAATTCTTTCACTCTCTTCTTGTTACTTTGTTTGGGGAACTGTTTTTATTTGCAATCAACTTTATTCATCCTGCATTGGAATACTCCCTCGAGTAATAACACGTTCACCACTACAGCATTCCAACTAATTACATCGTGTTGACCTCGCTCAAGTTCAAGGTTAGAGAGGTGGGGCTACAGATATAAATGGCAAGACAATGGACCAATCGCACATCATTGTGAGCACTCAGGTGGATTGCTCCAAAGCTATCATAATACGGGCACTGAATTGTGAAGGCTATCGTGAACTAGTCTGAGATCGCGTTATTTTTAGACTGCCTCTAGGCCTATGGGCTTTGTTCGGCTGGTGCACATTGAGATTGTGCCGCCTTATTCATATTTATGAACAAAGAAACTCGGTCAAAACGTCATCGTTGTTTGAGTCGGCCCATAGAGCATTTTCCGAGATAGATTACACCACTGAACATGCCATTTTTTACTCGGGTGAAGCACAAGAACTTGATACATGTATTGTATAGTAGATGTTGTAGAGTTGTAGATGTTGTAATGAACGAATTAGGCTATTGCGAGGAACTTGTACGGAAAACGGATTGGATAGTGAAAGGTAAAGGTTCTTGTAATTGTAATGTATTGCCTCTTTGTGGGTGTTGGGCGCATTAAAATTTTTGGGCGGCAGTGCACGACCATGCTCTACGGACGAACCACCCCTGCACTACCCCTATCATACTAAGCAATAACACCTGTCTTATACGGCCACCTTATAGTGACTCCATTACGTTTTGTCATAAATTGTGCATTGGCCCCTGGTGTTGTGGGCAA